GGCACATTTAAATCTTACAAATATAGTTATTTGGCTTATATCGTGATAGATATCGTTATCGCCTGAAATGAAAAACCATATCGTGTTATGAAAAAATCTTATATCGCCCAGCTCTACTGAGGACTCACCGTGTTTAGGAGCCAGGAGGGGGACCGCCACAGGCTCGACTTGACGCCACAGCTCCCCTCCGACCTGATGCCTGGATGTGAAAGTCCAGGTGGAGAGAGGACCAGAACCAACCTGAAAGTGCAACCACATCCAACACGAATAAAGTTGGAGCCTAACATTTAACACCCCCACAGTTACAGTCAAGCCACCTGCTGGGTTACAAAAAAGAGAAAGAAATATATTTAAAAATCTCTTAAGTTGTAGTTTAAACCAAAAAGGGGCCGTAACAGTTCTGTAACTCGGTAGGTGTAAACCATATGGTTGCCGATAAATAAAAAGATAAATAAAAATAAACAAAGACATTAACAGGATAATTTGTCACACACATTACTATGATAACTTAACCTCAGTTTAAAGACCTTAAACATAAATATTGCTACGATGTAGTATATTTTACCCCTTGAATTATCAATTTATCATATAAGCAAAGTTATAATTATTTTCCCTGCAGGAATGCGGACAGATCTGGAGTCACGGAATTATCCACGTGGGACCCACCTGAGGTTTGACCTGGTCGTAGCTGGCCCAGCCTCCAGCATTGTGTTTCTGCACCAAATTCGGCGGCCCGCAGTTATAAAACGATGGAAAAAGCTCCTGGGGGAACTGGTAATCCATGTTTGTTTGCTGTTAAATCATTCAAACTGCGGTCGGGTTTTCCGTTGTCCACGATGCCTGTCTGTCTCTCTGTCGGTGTTGAAGAACAAGTTTGGGCATGTTCAGCTAACGTTAGCTATCCCGCCGCAGGCAGCGAGCGCATGTTTCTATTTATTTTCGTCTGAACATCGTGACACCCGCTCAGGGGTGCTAAACACGATCACACAAAAACACACGGGAGTCCAAAAGAGACCACGTAGACATCAAAATGACCCCAAATCCTCAGTTAATCCACCAACACGTGTAGACCCCCTACGACAAAACTACCGGAAGTCAAGCTTTACAGCTGGCGCCAACAACAACAACAAATACAATGACTTCCGGTTAGCTTAAAAATACAAAAACAAAAATTCCAAACTTAAATGAAAAATGTCATGAGACTTACACAAACGAACAACGCCCCCTCCACCCCCCCCAAAATAAAACAAACAAACAAACAAACAAACAAAAAAAACAACAACATGAAAAACAGGCGTTTAATTTTGTAGGACTATTTAAAGGAAATCCCAAGTGAGAAAACACCACCAGCAACACTAAAATAAATAAAGTTGATGGTCGTTTTATGGAAAAAAATTACAAAACCCCGAGGATACCGGAAGTGTTCGGTTTCATTTCAAAAGCGAGCAAAATTTCAAAGTAAAGCTTATTTTAACCGATCGCATCAAGGCGATAGACAAGAGTCATACTTTTTTTTAAAAAATCTGCTTTTATTATTTTAGTTTTATTTACGGCGTTGTAGTTAGTTCCAATTAAATTCAAGAGCTATTGTATTGTATTGTATATAATATTTACAAATTAAACTGAGATTGAAACTAAATACATTATTCTCTATAATTTAGTGGTATTTTAATTATTACTATCATTTTTGCTGTGTTGTTGTATTTAAGGCTCCATATCGCTGTCAAACTTTGCATTATTTTAGTTATTTAAAAAAGTGTTTCTTTAAAATTTTGTTTTTAGGTGTGGCAAGATGATATCACATCTAGCCATTTCATTTCATTTTATTTTTGCACCCGGTTATAGTTTTCCGCTGATTTTTGTGGATTTCTGCATTTTAGGAGCCACAACTTATAACGAATTCCCTGCGCATTTTGTTTTATTTTGAAAACCGTTTGCCGGATGCGGCTCCTCGGTCGTCCTATGGTCAGCTGACCGAGCATCTCTGAGCGTCTTTAGGACAAACAGACGAAACGAGTCAAGAAAAGGGTATTCCTGCGTTTTATTTTCCCACAGAGGGAACCGTTTACCACTCAGCCCCACTGTTAGTGGGAAATGTTCCAGTAGGTCGCTGCTTTTGGTGAGTAAAAGACGTTTTAGCGCTGTTTTGGTTCCGTTAGCTGCGTTGCTAACCTGGAAGTCCCGACATTGCAGGTGTAGTTTAGCCTCAGCGTCTCAGACATCATTGCGCAGCTGGTGTGCAGCATCCTTTTAATCACTCATGGGTAGATTTAAGATCAAATGTCCGCTGCTGGTATTTTTCCAGCTGCCAGCTTAATAGCTAGCCTTGGATTAAACATCTTCGTTTTATCCAAACGTGTTAGCTTTAAACCCGAGTGACACCAAGGTTACTGATGATGGCTTAATTACGTTTACGTTGTGTGTGTTATTTGTCTGGCTTTATTGCTCTTTTGTGTGTGGGTGACTGTCTTGAGACTGATGGTGTGTTTGTGTCGGACTGGAGCAGCTGGATTAACCTTTTTGACTCTCAATAGTAGAGGAGCAGAAATATGATGTAAAGTGAGCACGTGGCTGTACTGCCTGTGAAAACGTTTCTGATCGCGTTTCAGGGGCCACTGTTTGAGTTAATGCCAGTTTCACTTCCCACTCGGGAGTTACTCTTAGTAACTCAGTTTTCAAGTCCTGGTTATCAAGATCACTATCGGTATACCCATGGCTGACCTGGTGGAAAGCATCATGAAGAATCTGCACTTGTAGGAGGAGGTCTTCCTGAACATCTCTCGTGTCCTGGGCAACAGCAACTTAATAGTTTCCCATTAAGCATGGTTTTTTTGAGCCATGACTGCAATTTGTATCCTGATATTTGTGCCACAGTTTTATTTATTCCTTTGTACAACCTCATTACTTCAGGTTTTGGGCCACCATTTAATTTGTAGATTGGTTTATGAGTTTCTGGGTTCATGCCTCTGTTTAAAGTACTTACCTCAGGATTTTGGACCACAGATTCATTCGTTCGTTAATTTTTGAGCCACAGCTTTGGTTTGCACCTCAGTTTTTCTTTAGTGGGGATGAGTAAATGATGAGTGGGGATGAATGGTCTTAGTTTTCACTACTCCAGCATGGTTTAACTTTGTGAGTGTGCTGGTCCAAAGTCCTGAACTCTTGAGCTCCCACAGTGAGAATATCAGGAGGCTCTGTTGTTGCTTTTGAGCTAAGGGTCACTGCAATCAATACTAATGCTGATTGGAATGATTGCCTGATTTGCCTCACGTGATTAAACATGTGGTCTCCTCCAGGATGACACTGGCTCTGTTTATGGATCAATAAATGATTTAATGGCGATAAAAAGGATGTAAATAAAATGTCACTTTACAAGGCAGAATCAAACTTCCTGCCCTGTTATTGCTTAACTGAAGTTGTGGTTTTTTTAACAGTCATTCTTGCTGACTTCTTATGTGTTGTTCTGCATGATTGTTGTTATTTTTATCATGATTTTGTTGGGTCTCTGTATTGTGTTTTTTGAGTTGTTGTTTAAAGGAAAACTCTCCAGCGCTCTTTGCATAAGATTTGTTCTTGAGTCACATCACTTGCAGAATATCCGGAGTATGATGATGATCTGCACTGAGGGATGAACTCTTCACCTTCTGCTGTCACATGTTTGAGTTTTGTTGTTTTAATGGAGTGTTGCTCTTACAGACTAATCCAGAAAACTTGAAGCTCACTGCACCACACAGCTTGTTTTGTTGGCAGAGCAAGCATTTTTTAATTATCACTTGATCGTATTCATTTCATTGTGGGAAACCAAAGTTATGATTTCAGATTAAAATTATATTTATTGTGCAGACCTGCTACAGAACAATGCTAAACTGGAAGCTGTCTGTCTGCATACGAACTGTTATCTTTAAATCTAAATTTCATATTTGTTGCAAACCTTTCTTCAGACTGACAGCAGCCATCCTCAGGCTTTCTAGCAGTGATACCTGCAGAGGGAGAGCTGCAGAGATCGCAGGGTGTGCTTGGGTAGATTTATCTCACTGCTTTAGTAACTTATTACAATTTGGACTGTAAATATAAACACACTCAAAGATTTGTTCCTGCAGAACAATTTTTTAAACTTGACAAGTTTAAAAAGGTATTCCCATGTGAAATGGGTCATAAATGATCATTTCAGTAGTATTTTAGCTGTTTGAGATTTAATCCTGGTTCTGATTGTGTCCTTAGATAATCAGCTTTATTTGCTGGAGTAAAATCAAACTTCCTCCTGATTGTTGTGCATGAGCATGAGATCCAAAATGCACCAATCAAAACTGTTCCAGGTTGCTGTTACCCACGAAGTCATTCAAACATGTAAATGTTGCTAAAACCATTAAGCTAAGGCAGACTTCTGCCACACTGAAGCCTCATTGTTTCCTCTGTTTCTAGACACCTCACCATAATGTCGGGGAACAACTTGGTTCTACCCATAGTGCTCTGGGGCCGCACAGCTCCCACACATTGCATCAGCAGCCTGCTGGTGATGGATGACTTTAGCACCATCATCACCGGCTGCCACGATGGACAGATCTGTCTCTGGGACATGACGCCTGAGCTGGAGGTGAGTGTTTGTGCTCCAGCTTTATTCAATCTGCTTCTTCTCCTCCTCTCATCAAACACTCTGCTCCTCTCTTATGTTTCCTGCTCAGATTTGTCCCAGGGCAATGCTGTTTGGTCACACAGCCTCCATCACCTGCCTGTCTAAAGCGAGTGCATGCAGCGACAAACAGTACATCGTCAGTGCATCTGAGAGCGGGTGAGCAATCGTGAAGCGTGCTTCCATGAGACTTCTTTTTGCTAACTTTTATATAACACGTTCATGTGGGTTGTATGTACAGTCGCTGTGTGTACACCTTTCTTTTCTTGTGATTTTTATTTTTTAACTTGTGTCTTAAAGTATTTTCATTTCAGTGCTGAGGCTCAGTTGTGGAAAGATTTGTCAGAATAGTTTTGGGAATAAACTCTGAAGACTGGTATTTAAATTTGAGCCTTTTCATCCTAAATATGTGTCACATCTGCCCTAATTGTTATGCCCGTACAGTGGTTACATGTTACAGACATAAACTGTATAAACGACAGGTTTTGGGACTCTAATGTGGTCCATTTATTTGTCCTATACTGAGACTTTATTACCTTTTGCTTTTTGGTTTATTGGAGCCAGAAGTCCACATATTTGGATGAAAGGGTGGAGTACGAGGCTTTTACAGATGGAACTGGCAGACACATGCATCTGTTAATAGATCAATAACACACTGATCTGTTAATGACCTGTTAACAGATGGGTGTACTGTGATCCCTATAAAAGATAAAGCTCTCCATAGAGGCAGAAACAGTTCTCTGTAACAGTCTGTAAAGTCCTGTAAACTTGGGTCTTTTAACATGGGAGTCTATAAGCGACTGACTCACTTATGGACATAAAAGGAACTGCACTCTTTGGATTTATTTCTCAGTCTCAGAGGTTGCTGCTTGCCTTTTCTGATTAAATAAGCGTTATAGCTGTCCTAAATGAAGTTGCCGTTGTGTTTCTGCTGTGATGATTTGTTGTAGGAGGTTTAGTTTGGACAGGGTGATGCATAAAATTTAAAAACAATGAAATAAGTCATTACAACATATAAATTATTTTTTAAAGCATAGCTTCTAAGCCAGCTCTGAGCCAAATTCCAACAAATGCATAAGTGTGAGAAATGTGAAAAAGTCTGAGAGGAAGGCACTGGTGCAGGACAGCACATCAGTGGTAAATGTGTATTAGACTGCCTGACTTCACGTCCAGTCATTTTCAGAGCTGGATGTTTTTGAGATGAGGCATTGTTGGTGTACGAAAGGGACCATCTCATGTACTGCAACCACTGTGGTTTTCTAAAAGAATGCAGTCCATTTTACTACAACCATAATTAGCTTAAAACAGATTAGGCTTCAGTGAATGAGGAAGCTCTTCAAAGTACATTAATGTGTGACAGCAGCTTTTTGACCTTACAGGGAGATGTGTCTGTGGGACGTGAACGATGGACGCTGTATTGAGTTCACAAAGCTGGCATGCGCTCACATTGGCATACAGGTAACACACACACACACACACACACACACACACACACACACACACACACACACACACACACACACACGTATGCAGTGAATGATCATCAGACATCAAGATGTTAAACAGTACATTTGCATAGCACTGATTCAGCCTCGCCTTATTTATTCAACCCAAATACAGTCTGATTGGTTAATTATGTCAGGTGTTTTCTACTTGGCTTCTTTTTTTATGGTAATAATAATAATAATAATAATAATAATAATAATGGATTGCATTTATATAGCGCTTTTTTTAGGCACCCAAAGCGCTTTTACAATGTCACTATTCATTCACACACTGGTGGAGGCAGCTACAGTTGTAGCTACAGCTGCCCTGGGGCAGACTGACAGAAGCGAGGCTGCCATATCGCGCCATCGGCCCCTCTGGCCAACACCAGCAGGCGGTAGGGTAAAGTGTCTTGCCCAAGGACACAATGACCAGGACAGAGAGAGCTGGGGGATCGAACCGGCAACCTTCCGGTTACAGATGAGCTTCCCAATACTATTGTAAACTAGTGTTTACTGCAGGGTTTTCATAATGAGAGCATACAAAGGGAATGGTTGTGCTCTTTCCCTAAGCTTTAAGGTGTATTTCCCTTTTCCCTGAAAAAAGGGGGGGAAAAGCTCAGGTGGGAAAAAAAAAAAGCTGAAAAGTATTTAACCAGCACACAAAAGCCTAATGTTACCTTCAGGAAAAAGTAGAGACCAAAATTAAACCACAAGGTGATTGAAAAGACCTTTAATCCAGATCATTTCATCTTCACTCCCCTCCTTCTCTGCCTCCTCTTCAGTACTACCAGTTCACCATCGGCACTCAGAGGGAGGGGCGTCTCCTCTGTAATGGCCACTACCCAGAAATCTTGGTGGTGGATGCCACCAGCCTGGAGGTCCTGTACTCGCTAGTGTCTAAAATCTCTCCTGACTGGATTAGCTCTATGAGCATCATCCGATCCCACCGCACACAAGGTGAGAGTTTCCCTCAGGTTCACTGCTTTGAATGTTAGCTTGCAGACTGCCCTGCACAAAACATCATCGCTGTGGACTTCTTCATGTTTGTACTTGTGAATAAGCTATGTTCTGTCTCTGTGCAGAGGACACGGTTGTGGCGGTGTCAGTGACGGGCATCCTGAAGGTCTGGATCATAACACCTGAGGTCAGCAGAATGCAGGTACACCTCCATACAGGTGTTTATTAAACGCGCATCAGGCTTCAGTTACACCATCGTAAATGAAGCTGTAAATAAAGTAGAGCTAAGAAAACACAGACCTCCCCAGTCCTACTTAGATTAGAATATCATAGACTGTATACAAAAGATAGATGTGGCCAGCTTGATGTCACCCATTGGTTTCTGGACAGTTTTAAAAAGGTACCAGCATTTAGTGGAGGTCAGGCCTAACAAGTTTACTAGAGTCTGTTTCAGCATACCTTTCGCACCCCTAATTTTAAAGTATTATAATCTGATGGAGGAGTGTCAATAGTCTAAACATGTTTATTTCTGATATAAAGTTGGACATTTAAACGTGAGAGTCTGTGGAGAGTCGCTCACTTTTGGAGCCAGCCTCAAGTGGACGTTAGAGGAACTATAACTTTTGGCACTTCAGCCCAGGAGGTTGTTTAAAAATCAAGGAAAAAAATACTTCTTTTCTGTGTCTCCAGCATCGATGCATGGCTCTGCTCAGGATCTAACTTGTAATTTCTTTTTCTCTTTTTTCAGGACTTGGACCCTGTGTTTGAAGAGGAGTCCAAACCGATCTACTGTCAGGGCTGCCAGAGCATCTCCTTCTGCACCTTCACTCAGAGCAGCCTGCTGGTCGTGTGCTCCAAATACTGGAGGGTAAGAACCTGCACGAACCACTCGGGGGTTGTTTTTGCTGGCATGATGGTCACAGTGGTGATTGAGCGTGATGAAATGCTCCTGTGTCTGGTTAACTATTTTAAACTGCTCAAAATAGATTGAACAAAGTTGGTAGAGTGAAAGAAAGGTTATCATGTAATACCATTTTAGCCAATCACATGAAGCCTGTACTATGTAGGAGGTAACTCGAGGGTTACCCTTGGGTTTTCTATACTATGAAGATGGTTTACTACTTACTGGGTAAATCATTATGGTATGCTCCACCTGCTGTTGGAGCAGTGCAGTGTACCTGTTGTACAGAGAAATGAGTTTTATATGTGCAGCTTTTTAAGTCATACCCTACTAAAGCCAATGATTTAACCCAAACTTTGTGTCAACTGTGCATGTATTAAGGTGGTGATTTAGGAAATGTATAAAATGTTGTCATACTTGATTATAATCTGCTGGTAAACCTCTTTTATTCTGCTGGAAGTGCATCCAAAAGAAACCAGGAAAAACTCTGTACTGTGGTCCCTCATTTATCTCAGGTGTTACATTCTAAAAGTAACCCGCGATAGGTGAAATCCGAGAAGTATCCAGCTTTATTACAATTATTATAGACGTTTTAAGGCTGTAGAACCCCTCACTACACACTTTATACACTTTTCTCAGACAGACATGAACATTTTCACACTTTTCTCTCCTGTTTAAACACTCTCAAAGTTCAAACCTTTGTAGAAAAATAAGTCATGTATTATAGAGGAAACAAGAAGAATGAGTTGATTAAAGCTTGACTCACTTTGCTGTTTTGTTTCGCTTAATGCGCCTTATAATCCAAAAAACACGGTAACCTCTACCTTCCTTTAGCATGTCCAGAATTCCAACTTTTTGTGCGATGGTTAGCAACATTTTGTCGACATTGTTGTGTTTGTTGGGGAGAAAACATGCATACAACATACAAACATGCAGTACAGCACTTCACTCACACTGCTAGCGATCGCAGATTTATGTAAATTTGACAAGCTGAACACATTCTGCACTGGACAGGAGACACGGCATGGAGGAGATTGACTATGGTCTACAGCCGATCCGGACGCAGCACACAATGCGCTGTTACGAAGAAAAAAAAGGCATGCAATATTTGCACACAAAAAATCCGCGAAACAGCGAGGCCGCGAAAGGTGAACCGTGTTATAGCGAGGGACCACTGTATTTGAGTCACACGTTACACTTATGAGACTTTGACTGGTGTTTCTCTGTTTGAAATGTGTGAAATTAACACCCTGATTAAGGCTTGTGTGTTCAGAGTATTAAAAACTGCTCATCCACTGAGCTAAACATACACTGAGGCTGATTTTCCAGCCCTGCTACCACAGAGGAGTGCTGATGGTTCTCTACAATATCATCACACAGCAGTCTGAAGTCTTGGCCTGGACAGATGGTTATGTTAATGAATTTTTGTCTGTTTCAGGTGTTTGATGCGGGCGATTACTCCCTGCTCTGCTCGGTGTCCAACGACAACGACCAGTCCTGGACGGGAGGTGAGTTCATCGCCGCGGACAAAGTCATCATCTGGACCGAGGATGGTTGCAGCTACATCTACAAGCTGCCAGCCAGGTAAGCCTGCCGCTCATCTGTCATCACTGCAGGAAAAAGACAGGTTCATCGTCATGACAATTTAACCTAAACATGTCTTTGTGTTTCTTAGCTGCCTGCCTGCTAGTGAGCATTTCCGCAGTGATGTTGGGAAAACCAAAGAAGGTTCGATCCCTCCGCTGGTGTACAGCATCGCTGACCGCTCAGACAAACAGGTGAGTCCTCCATCCGCCTCAGATTGCATGCGCAGGGAGGAAGACGGGAGATTCAATGATTTGATACCAAGTAAATACAGGGCTAGTGTTGCAGATATAGCTACTGATACCGATGCTTTGAACTTATAAGGCAGCCTCTGTTCTTTAAATGGTTTATAGGCTATAAATAGAATAGACTTGACGGGGGCGTCATTTGATTAGTTTAAAAAACTTTGAGAAGTGAGTGAATGAGATCCTAAACACAGTTTGAGAATAACACAGGTAAAACAACATTATTATTATTATTATTATTATTATTATTAAGACATGTTTAAGCTAAAAACTTTATACTGCATTTCAGCATTGAGCCTCCATCAGGAAATGTATTTTCACAACTAAAAGTTATGAACTCCAGTTATTCACATTGACTTTCAGTAGTCGGTAAGTCAGCAAACCTGTAACCTTATTGTGCAGCAAACCAGCAGGCCTGTCCTGCTTTTAGCTATGTAAAGCCAACCTAACGTGGTACTAGCTGTCTACTCTGCAATAATATTGATAAATGTGGTTCTTGAAGTCTTCAGGCTGCTTTGTCTTGTCTATATGATTTATTCTATGTGAGGTTCACTTCATGCACCTGGATTAGTACACCTGGTCGTGTATTCAAGATTACAAAAAAGCCAGCAGAGATCAGGTCCAACAACAGTTGCAGACATGACCTGTTGTTCCAGGCGGTAGCTCATCCCTGTTTCCCCTTTATTCCTTTAAAGCTTTTAATTTGAAACCGCTGCGGGAAATGTAAATGAAAGATCTTGATCCGTGTGCATGAACCTGACTCTGTGTTCTGTTCCTTTCTGGTTTAATTTCCTCAGTTTTTTTTCATGTGTGTATTTATAATTTGTCGTCTTGTTGGTATTAATGTGTTGTCTGTGCCTTTTTTGTTACTTTTGCTGTTTCTACCTTATGCTCCCTCCCTCGCTCCTCTCAGAGGGAAGGAGAGGGAGGTGAGGAGGAAGAGATGGTTTTGGAGGTGAAGTGCTTCCCTCCCAGCGGGTACGACTTGGAGCTCTACATCCCAGAGCCGTTATTCCACCACCGGCCTCTAGAGGCACCTGTAAGCCCAAGAAAAATACACGGTGAAAGCGAAGGCAGGAAGAAGAAGGTTTCACTGTCATGGCTAAGCTGCAAAAGCTACAAGAGGCAGAATAAGAGTTTTTAGAATTGTATTCCTTACTTTGGAGAAGCCAGAGCTGAAAAATGCTCGATTAATCTTTCTTTCGAGCTAATTTGTGATATAAATTATTCTTAGGGTCCAGGTGGGGTCAAAAAGATATTATTTTGAAATGCTTGGAGCATTTACAAACTGACTTTGGGACTTTGCAGCTCATCCAGAAAGTGACAACCAGGTGAGAAGAGCGAACTGTGAGAACAGCAGTGAAAGTGTTGATGTCAGCTCAGTGGCTCACATTCTTCAGCTCACACTTTTCAGCCGTAAAAACACACCATCCCATGTCATCAGGGGGTGCAAAAGTCCTTTAAACACTAGGTAAAGACCCAACACTATTAGAGGGAAAACCTTAACAATCAGAACATCTGCTATGACCAAACACTTGGCAACAGTGGAGAGGAAGAACTGCTTTTTCTTCCAGGATCATGGAGGTGCAGGTCTCCGATTGCTGTAGCCATTTCTGGGTTCAAATGTGCCTTCAGTTCTTAAAAGAAAGCAAACACTTAGGCACCACTAAGACAAATGCTTTTGATTGGTTAGTGAAGTTTGGCTTGTTGACATAGTGATGTTTCCCAAAAAAAACCAGATGATCCTGATGTGCCATTTTACTTGGGGAAAATCTAGGAAACACTTTTAAATCTGCAGTCTGAGAGTGACTGAGAGTGTTGGGATACTGTGGGTCTATACGAGGCCTGTAAGATGTAATGGGACCTGATCATTCAGGACTTTGTTTATCAGAAGAATATACTGAATTTTATATATTTGAAAGCGTAGACCAATTCCTGATGTCAGTGAAGCTGTGGCTTAGGTTGTACATAAAATGGCAGTGGTCCAAGAATGAGTCCTTGAGGAACGCCATCATAATAGAAAATGCTAGAAATCTGGTAATATCTGTAAGTTTGCTAGGAAAACAAACCACTGACGGCTGCTGTTTTGCTTGTAAGAGGTAATTAGTTGTTTTGAGAGTGAGCTGCTGAGTTGATGACTATTTGAGTGAACTGCCTGTTTTTGTTTGCTCCGCTCTTTGTTTTCCTTCCTGCCTAACCAACTGATGGACTGAACTCACTCTGGTTCACCTGGTTTCACGCTCTCCTCCCACTAAAGCAAAACTTGTCCTCCAAAAGCACCATCACCCTCCTCATCTGTCTTCATGCTGATGAAGATGCATGCAAAGTCCCCCAAGCTGCTTTCTAAGCAAATAATGACCCGCTGAGTCCCGGAGGTCATAACAAACCAAAGGCGCACAATGGGTCAGCCACAGTCAAATAGCCAAAAACTCTACGTTATTTGTGAGGTGTTGATAAATAATAAAAAAAGATATTTAGCTTTGATAGGAACAGCTTTTTTCCCCTGTTAGGGAAGCTACAGAGTGGTTGCTATAATTACCAATGTCCTTTATTTGACAAATGTCTTTGTTTTCTTTCATATGTCTACATTTTCGATAACACAGCAAAAAGGTGGTTATTATCTTGGCATAATGGAAAAGATGGCCATGGTCCACATCAAATGCGAAACATTTCATTGAAGTGAATACCAATTTTTGGTACTTTTACAATAATGCTTTTTAAAAAATGTGACACATAATTGTAATATGGTGCACAGAACTCGCAAACATAACCAAAGCCAGCGTGAGCTCCAGCGCTAGGGCCGACTTCCTATGATCACCACCAGCTAAATAAATAATCCAAATATAAAATGTAATTTTATATTCATCTGGTGTGATATAATATTTAATGTGATGTAATAATAAGTTATTTACTGTAAATAATATTGTGTTGCTCAGGTGACATTTGTCAGGTCAGCCACAATGAAAAGTGTCATTCTGAAAGAATGAAGTTGATCTAGAACGAGAGATTTTCTAAACTAAAATCAGATTTTTGATTTTCATGGCCAAATTTCCAAAGCTTTTTTTTTTCCATCGTCCTTGGTCTAAAATTCTCTTTCCTGGTTGGCCTTTAATTTGAAATGTGTACAGGAAGTGTTCAGTTTTACTAACTAAGAAAAGAGTAACTCATAACTTTAGAATTTACAAATTAATTTTTTTAGTAGTGGCATTAATTCTGTACAGTTTTGCTCACTTTTTCTTTTTGCATTAAATATTAAAATAGGTTAAAAGAAATTCAGGTTACACGTCACAGAACTCTGAATATTGTGTTTCTAGTTATCCAGATGAATGAGGGGCGGTGGGTGGGTGTCCCATCTCTGTTTTTCTTGCTTCCTCTCTGGTGGTTTTTGCTGAAAACTTAAACTCTCCTTGCTGTTTAATTGTTTGCATCTTTAGTGAAAGATGTGGTTTGGTTTGTGTGTGTTTGTGTGATATTTGGTGGCACTTTGCATACCCTCACTGCTCGTCCACAGCGCTCAGATGAGCTGAACTAACCGATCGTTCTTCACCCCCTCAGCCATTACGCAGTGACGCTACGCCCGCAGGTTCACCGGCTTTCATCATCGCAACCCCCCCCACACGCCTGCCAGCACCCCAAACTGCACTCTGAGAATTGTTCTCGCACTGCTCGTCACATTAATTAGTTTTCACTCTTTATTACTTCATGTATTGATAATAGATGTAAGTCAGCCCAGTTTTGGTTAGCGGTGGATTGCTTGTGTTTTTTAGGCAGTAAAAGCTCTGCTGCCCTCCTCCCATCTCCACCATTTTCAGTAACCTTTGGATTTTTTTTTTTTTTTAATAGTATGAAATGCTAAAGTGTGATTCTAGTTGCGTTTATTCTCTCCCGGAGAGGTCAGTTTTATCCTGATGTCCAGAATTATTGAGCCAAGGAACAGAATCTGCTCAGATTTTTGGTGATGCTCAACCAAACTGATGTCATCTTTTACTCTGCTCTACAAATTTTTACTTCAGAGCCTTGTATCAGGCTCTCATATAACCAAGAGATGGCGCTGAGACAGCCATCCATGAGTTCGGCTTATTTCATCCCAGAGTTAGAAAATAAAAAACAAAACAAAAAAACAGTGGTTGGAGCGCTTGTAGATCAGAGATGTGTGGTTCTGCTTTTCTGCAGTTTGCTGTGTGTTGTTGTTGTTGTTTGAAGACAACCTGAGAGCAAAACCAACCATTTCAGCTTCACTTGGCTCTTAAATTTAAGCTCAGCTTACAAATTCAGCATATTCCAGTATTGGTGGAAGTGTTCTGGCCAATTGGAGAGCCTTTAAAGATGTTTTCCAGCTGTCACCGGGGAGCTTTGAGGCATCACATCTTGTTGGTGTTGACATGTATTTTTTCCTGCCTTCCTCCAGCTCCTCATCTGCCCTCCTGTGACCCGCTTCTTCTTCAGCCGGAGGGAGCCCTTCCATAAGCTGCTGATCCAGGGTGACTCGGCGGGCAGAATGACCCTGTGGAGCATCCCGGACACCTCGCCTCTGCAGCCACAGTCCACCTCCACAGGTAAGGAAGGGGGGAAGATGGTGAGGTTTCTCTGGTAAAAGTCTTTTCATAAAACTTTGCTGTTTTTCTTGAACTTCAAACCTCAGCATGACGTTACGATGATCTCTCTTTTTTTTAGCTTTAAAGCAGCCCATTGTTAACGAGTTGGTACTAACGGAGGTTGTTTTTAGTCTGTTGGTCCAAAAATACAAACAAACAGAAAAACTTGATTCATAGAGTTTCTTTTCTTAAGAAAAATGTGGAAGAGAAAAAAGAAAAGCAGCATAGGTCCCCTTTACAAGATGCCTGATTGCATTGTTCAACTTTCTGGAGAGCTTATTCTTCATCCTCAAGTCCTTCAGAAGGCTGATCTCTAAACGAGTCCTTTGTCTGTTTGTATCACTGCAGAGCTGCAGGTGTCATTCACCATCAGCCTGCAGGAGGCATTTGATAAGCTGACCCCAGTGTCCTCGGGGATCATTGACCAGCTCAGCGTCCTGCCAGGCAAAGACGAACCCATTAAGGTCTGAACACAGAAAAGTTCTCATTCAATTATAAAAGAAGTTGTTTTAAAGATTGAAAATATTCTCACAGAGTTGAAAACTTTCAAAAATGAAAACAAACGTGGGTGTGTGGGGAACGTCCTTTTATTGTGTCCATCAACACGACCCCAAAATAACCTCTTTTGTGAGCACGTGTGCGATAGGGTTTACACAGTGGGGAAACTCTAAGAGAGTGTGTGTGCTTCACCTCAGGTGACGGCCAGCGTCTACATCCCCTCTCAGGGGCGCCTGGTGTGCGGGAGAGAAGACGGCAGCATCATCCTCGTTCCCGCCACTCAGACGGCCATCGTCCAGCTGCTGCAGGGCGAGCACATGCTCAGGAGAGGTGAGACAAACAAACTATACAGACACACTAAGAAATCCAGGGAAGTTTTGTTTCAATTTGACTCCTTTTACATCAGTTAAGATTCATTTTCATGCCTATTTCTAGTTTTAGTTGACTTTAAAAACCTTTGACCTTTGTGTTGGTCTGTTCTGCAGGCTGGCCGCCTCACCGCACCCTACGAGGCCACCGCAACAAGGTGACCTGCGTCCTGTACCCATACCAGGTCTCGCCACGCTACGACCAGCGCTCGCTGGTGTCTGGGGGAGTGGACTTCTCCGTCATTGTCTGGGACATTTTCACCGGGGAGATGAAGCACATCTTCTGTGTCCACGGAGGGGAGATCACGCAGCTCATCGTTCCGCCAGAGAACTGCAGCGTAAGACCGCCACCGCACGGGTCTATGTCTGCTTTCAGGCTTTGTTCTGCCGTCTCTGCAACACTGTTTGACATTAGATTTAAATGTTACAAGGTTACAGTCGTCATCGTTACTGTGGAAATAAGTTGAGACCTTTGTGCTGTTGTGGTTTCAGAAGCCCACCTGAAACTACACAGAGAGGACTTCGTATTGTTTACATGACATTAAAATAAATGGTTAGAGATGTTTTGCTGCCATGGAAATCACAGTAATGCTGTTGAATACAATGGCTGAGCTGTTACACACACAAGCTTTAATGAAGACATCAGATGGGCTTCTTCTCATTCTTTTAATAGTAAAGGGTACCTATTGTAACTGTTGCTCATTTCTTGTCACATATGTCCTGTTCCAATTTGGTTCTTCATATTAAAGTAAACTGTGAGGCGGACGCTCAGGCTTCAGGATGCTCTAATCAGTTTTACATAGTTTGTTTCTACTCTTGGCTCTACTTGATGTCATAGAGAGCAGATATCTTTTTTTAACCAGTGATATCTGACTCCAGAGATCAGAAGACCTTTGCAGCAGTGCAGTCACTAATGACTAAAAAGGGTCATTCCATTTAAATTGAATCAAATCTGACATCTTGAGTGGTTTTAAATGCTTCGAAATCCTTGAAAATAAAATAATGTTAAACGATTCAGAGGCCGTATTGAGTTTCTACTCTGACTTATTGTCTGCTAACCTCTCGGTGACCTGCAAGCACTTCTTCAGATTCTATGCCTCACCTTGCTGCTGTGTTTCCTCTGCAGACTCGGGTGCAGCACTGCGTCTGCTCGGTGGCCAGCGACCACTCTGTCGGCCTGCTCAGTCTCCGGGAGAGGAAGTGCATCATGCTCGCGTCGCGGCACCTTTTCCCCATCCAAGTCATCAAGTGGCGCCCGGCAGACGACTACCTGGTGGTGGGCTGCTCTGACGGCTCTGTGTACGTCTGGCAGATGGACACAGGTAAGAACCAGAGGACCAGGAAGGAGGTGTTTTCACTGTACTAGAACATGGAAACCTTATGACTGTTAAGATACCGATCATAATATTCTATATTAGCCTGTTTGTTAGCTCAAAGGAAAACCTTTGCGAGCTGCTACCAAGGCTGAAAGGTTCAGGCTTGCAGTTTCCTCCTACTTCTAATCTTAATGCTAAGCATGCATTAAGGGGGGTGGGGGTGGGCGTGCTCTCTGCAGTTCCCCCAATGACCACTAGACACTGGCTTCAAAAGAGTTAGTCCTCATACACTGATCAAATAATTAATACAAGCACTTTTCCTAAGATTCACATCCATATTCCAATAAACATGTCAGATAGCAGCTTGGAGCTCAGTATATTGGATAGGGATACTTTACCATGCAGACTAAAGAGTCAAACACAACCAACATTATAATAATAATGAATTGCATTTATATAGCGCTTTACAATTCCACTATTCATTCATTCACTCACTGGTGGAGGCAGCTACAGTTGTAGCCACAGCTGCCCTGGGGCAGACTGACAGAAGCGAGGCTGCCATATCGCGCCATCGGCCCCTCTGGCCAACACCAGTAGGCGGTAGGTGAAGCGTCTTGCCCAAGGACACAACAACTGAGACTGTCCGAGCCGGGGCTCGAACCGGCAACCTTCCAGTTACAAGACGAACTGCCAACTCTTTGAGCCACGATCGCCCCTAACCTTCTGATTAGTAGATAGCTGGTCAGCCTCCTGAACTACAGCCACCTAATAATCCCCCAAACCTCGTATTTGTGCCTGATGAACAGGTTTGCTTGTGTTGGCTGAACAATAACTTGGCTCTCGTCCAACAATAGCTCCAAAAAGTCAACATGGCAGCTACATCCTTTGTTTTTTTGTTTTCCCAGTTAACCTAATTTGAGCTCTGTGCTTAACAATATCCATCTTATCATCCTGACATGAAGAAACGAAGTGAACATCTTCCTCTGTACCTGCTAGCTCCTGTGCAGTCTGCACCATGTGGCACAGCATAGAGGTAGCATTAACTTGAATGGTGTGTGTGTGTGTGTGTGTGTGTGTGTGTGTGTGTGTGACCTGAATGAGCTGTAGTGCTGGGAAATTGCAGGGTATCTAAGTGTGAAATTAAGGAAGGTGTGTGTGTACTCAGGCGTTAGACATGTAATGGGGCCATGGCTCATGGGCCTTCATCACTCACACACCTATACACACTCAGGTATAATGGTGCCACTTCTCCTCTCACTCAATACCAGAGCCAATACTGATGTCAGCTCTGTCTGCAGCTAATGATGTCTCTCTAAAGCCCGTCTCTTTCTGTAAAGGTGGAGAATTGTTACACTGGAGAAGATCGTCTGTGACCTGAATCATATTCAAGAGACTATAGATAATGATTGTGAGTCTGAGATGGTGTGAGAGAGATTGGAAGATTGATATAAATAAAAGGAGAGTGCAAGGGCAAGAGGAGGGAGACTGATGGAAACAGAAGGCGAGTCTGTGTGATGAGAATGAAGAGAGAGAGTGAGCGAGAGAGAGGCTGAGATAAAACCATCGATGTGTCAGTTCATCCTGACGATGTCGTACAGGGTCGAGGTCAGAGCTCAGTGCAGTTCTGAGGCCCTGAGAACACAACGCACAACCCCACCTACTGTTCTGTCAAAGTTGAATCACAACCATTGAGCTTCCCACAAACAAAGTGTGTTGGAAACCCTTAAAGTTTAGGGTTGAGTTGAAGATTTCAGAGATCACTATTGGAGCTCTTCATGGTCAAATTTCTACTTGGTATTAATGAACTGCTTCATCCATCATATGTAGCTCCTGGGTCTCTGAGCTCAGGGAAATGTTGGTTGTAGCTGGGTCCAATTTGCAGAAGTCTCTTTTTAAAAAGAAGCTTAAGACCCACCTGTGCAGGATTGCTTTAGTTTTATCCAGTGTGAAGCGTATTTTCTGTTTATTCAGATGAAATCACCTTTTAGAGTGCAAGTGGTTCAATTAATTGATTGGGTGGTCAACAGATGACAGGCTTTTTTTTTTTTAAACATACTTTTAATACAATCTTGTAGTGAAGGAAATTACACTGGACATTTTTCACTGTTTCCAATTTACTGATAAAAAGATCAGTGCAGGATGAAAATTGTTTTACAAACCTCTGGCTCTTTCTATTGAATGTTTTTCTCTTGAAATGTCTCTTGAGATATTTTAGGTTTACTTACTGTTTTACATGTAAAAGTTTTATTTTATTTCTGTCTGCTTAAAACACAACTCCTTTGTTTACTATGACTGTTTGTCATTTTAAAATTCGAAATTTAGTTAAAGGGCTTGTAATACACTGCAAGAATTCTTTTTCAAACTGCATACGATTGCAGTGTTTGATTTTTATTGCTTTGTATTATCCTTGTGTTGTTTAAACTGAGTGTTACTACCAAATTAACCTAATAACCTTTGAGGACTGTACTGCAATTGAGAGCTTGAGGTATAGAGCTATCTATATCTACCCTATGGATTTAATAGAGGGGCAGCACGGTGGTTAGCACTGTTGCTTCACAGCAAGAAGGTCCACTGTCAGGTCGGGGTCCTTCTGTGTGGAGTTTGCATGTTCTCCTCGTGTTTGTGTGGGTTCTCTCCAGGTACTCCAGCTTCCTCCCACAGTTCAAAGACATGCAGTTAGTGGGGATAGGTTAATTGGTAACTCCAAATTGCCCATAGGCGTACCCTGCCTCTCGCCCTAGACAGCTGGGATGGGTTCCAGCCCCCCTGTGACCCTGACAAGGATAAGCGGCAGAGAATGGATGGATGGATTTAATAGAGTACCATCAGTCAACTAAAACAGTGAGTGCTAAACACCTGCAGCTACAAGGAATTTAAACCATCCAATTAGCAGTTTCTTTCCATGCAAAATCTTTAGCTGGTCTAATTGAGAAATGAATGGGCACAATGAGAAAAAACAAGGCACTTATGTATTAGAAGTTAGCAGTGAATCTATATATTTCAGGTTTACTGTGCACAGGTGTACACCTGCAGGTGGACCAGAGGGTGAAAAAATATCAGACTGTTGGTTTGTGTGTAGCTTGTGTCTTCTGAGGCTGAGGCAGATTTGTTTACTGGTTTGGTTCCAGGAGCGTTGGACCGCTGTGTGATGGGAATAACTGCAGTAGAGATCCTGAATGCCTGTGATGAGCTGGCTCCAGCTACTGTGGATGCTCTGAGCCACTCGGCGGTGAACCTGAAACAGGCGATGACCCGCCGCAGCCTGGCCGCACTGAAGAACATGGCTCAACACAAACTGCAGACGCTTGCCACCAACCTGCTGGCTGCAGACAACGCTGACAAGGTGAGGACGACCACTAAAAGTCACAAACACACTGGAAGAAATAAGTTAAACAGAAAAAGGCACAAAACAAAGAAATGTGCATATAACGGTTGACCTGTAGCGTGTATACAGGAATATTTGTTTACCATCAGATCCTGAGCAATCCAAATGCAGGCAACGCTTGTTTTTTCTGCACACTGTGAGGCTGTTGGTATTTATTAAATTCAAAGGGTCAGGTACACGTCTTTGGTCCTCATTATAGTTTTCGTTATACATTTATTGTTAAATCTGTTTACTTTAAGTCATTGAGATTAGCATCTCTTTTTAAAGAGAGTCCTCAAAAACCCATATACAACAGTATAAAGAGTAGTGAGTATATTTTGAAAGCACCTGCAAGTACAACTGCAGATATAAATATAAACTGTTGCAGCGCCTTAGAAACAGGGGACAGCAGACAAGCCTGAGATCCACCAAAATGACTTGATGTTCTGTTTATGACCTGAAACTACTGACTGAGCCCATTAAGTTCATAGAGGTCACAGAAGACCATAGAAGTCGAAGGAGTCGCCCCCTGGTGGTCATTAAAATAATAGAGGTTCCGCATTGACGTCACTTTCAGCAATCTGATTCAGATTGGGAATCTTTTCAACACTTTGTGGTAAATCCTGATTCTACTTTTATTTATTTATTTAGTTTTTGCTCAAAACAACGATTTGTTTTCTAAACCTTCTTAGACTGAAGCTGAGGTTTGTCAAATGTTAATTTTTCTCATTTCTACGAAGTTCAGATGTCTCTTTATGTTCCTCATATAATGATTTTCTCTTTGCATCATTCACCCCACACACACACACACACACACACACACACACACACACACACACACACACACACACACACACACACACGTCATCTCAGTCACAAAGCTGCTGGCTCAAGTCAGACCAATTAAAACTCTGCTGGAGACGACCCACAGGTCAACCAGGGAACGATGGTATTAAATGTCATAATGGTGAAAAAGAGTGAGTCCAGCGTTTCTTTGAGACTTTCTGGAGACTAGCTTTTCAATATTTAAACCTGTACCAGCACAAGTCAAACTACTTGAGTAGCCCTTTTTTTTTTTTTTTTTTTTTTTCTCTCTCAAGTCTTAAACTGGGTCCTAATTATTTATTTTTCTACTTTAAAATTACCTTCCAGAGCTTGTTTTTACATTTTTACCTCCTGTAGTGCCTTTGTGCTTTTTTCCCAACTTCCTGTGCATCAATACATCCTTTATATCCCCAGTTTTGAAAATGCGTGTGTAGTAAGTTTATAGTAACTAAATAAAAACATAAAAAAAATGCAATAAACTACCCAGAACATAGATACAAAAATTATAAAAGGAAAAAAGTTGCATAAAATCCTTTCAAATCACAAAACATTATTTTGAGTGTGCACATAACTTTGTTTTTGAGATACACCCATTTTTATAAATTATAATAAAAATGAAAATAAAATGCACACTGTGCACAATTTGCAAAAAGACAGTATGTACATCAAAATTCCATTTCCAAAAGTGCATAGTTCTCGGTGTCTGAGGAATTGAATTGAAATGAATATCTTTATTGTCATTAAAAGTGTAAAGTGTGCATGTTAGTCCCCATAGGGAAATAGTTCCTCTGCATTTAACCCATTCACCCAGTGAAGCAGTGGGCAGCCGCCAGTGCAGCGCCCGGGGAGCAGTGTGTAGGGACGGTACCTTGCTCAGGGGTACCTCAGGGTAGCCGTTCAGTGGAGTCGAACCCCCGACCTTCCGATCATGGGGCCACCACTCTACCTACTGAGCTATCCCTGCCCATTGGTGCTTGAACAACAAAATTAACAAGTTGTCTTTGATCAGTGCTAAAAACCTTAAAATACCAATAAAACAACAGAACTTTACATTCATGACGTAGAAATGACGTATAGAAAGTCACAAATTCCTGCCTTTCCTGGGAAAACCAGTTTTTACAGTTAGTGCTGTGCATGAAACCATGTAATGGCTCATGCTGATTACATGATGATGTATGGGAGCAGAGGCGTGCTTGTTGGCTCAAGTACCAAAAACCGTAGTTTCTCTAATATCCACTAGAGGCTCACTCCAAAAGTGAGTCAGTCCCACAGTCAGGACTAAAAGAGAACCTGGGACTGTTGTGGAGATGAAACTAACATAGAGGAAAACTGAGTTAAATGTTTTATTGTGTCACTCTACCATAAAATGTCTTAAATTTTGTGTTTAAGGTAATTTAATTATGAATATCTACCTTTTCAATATGACTGGAAATAATGAAACGAAGCTTTAACCCTTTAGAGCCGATCGGAACGGGAACGCTCTGTTATGCGTAACTATTTTTAAATCCCGGTAGCTCTGCAACCAGGTAAGCTAGCGCAAAAATTTTTTTTGCATATGAAACCGGAGGAGTTGTACTTACATATTGTGCCATCAGCTTGTCCTAGGTCACGGTTTCCTTCCACATAAAGCTTTGCAAAAACTGCATAAAAAGCACTTGCAGGAACAAAAACATAATATTCTAGAAACACGCTTTGCCGGTCCGATCAGCTGTTCAAAACACTTCCTACGTTGGAATAGACGTCAGCGCGAACTTTTGCATTTCCGCCATTACCTGGCCGAAACCGGAAGTGACGTCATTTTCGCGAAAAGGAAGCCTTGTTGCGATCAGGGCCTCAGGGCCTATACTGCTCTTTTTAAAAGTTATCTTTGACTTTATGACTTTCTGTGTCGTTTCTGGGATGCTTAGGACTCATATTGCACTGCTGGAAATAGTTTATTTTGATGCATATGCTGCTTTTTTGCAAATTTGCAGTATAATATTTATTTTCGTTTTTCCTGCAGTATATAAAAATTGGTGTATTTCAAAAATTAAACTATGAAGACACTCAAAATAAATTTCCTGTGGTGGGAAACTACTTTGTGCAACTTTTTTGTATTTACAGTTTTGAGGGATAAGCCTCTTAAATTTCTCTAACTACAAATATATGTTAAAAAATCAAAAACGATTTTCAATTTTTTTTGTAGTTTATTGCACTTTTTTGCAATTTATGTAATTACTATGCACTTAATGAATACATATTATTAAAATCTGGGCTATAATGGTTGTATTGATGTATAGCAACTTGAAATGCTCCCAAAAATGGCTCCACAGCATGTAAAAATATAATATAAGCTCTGGCGGACTTGGTTCTATGGTAGGTCTTAAAGGGTTAAACACCGATCATACGTAATGAAGAATTATATTTTAGCTCACGGCACACCTGAGTTACCCTTTCTCTGCTGTATTCGGTAGCTTTCATCTTCTTTGAGCTTCACCTGTGAGGGGACCACTTGTCAGACGTGATGATCTGATCTGTCCCGACAGCGGTAACCCCTCCCAAATGTGCAGCCCGGCACCGAAAACAAGCGCTGTGAATTATTTAGTGCTTGAACAGCGTTTAGTTTAGTTGCCGGTGCAGTTTGACTTCTCAGGTTCACCTGGAACTCATTTACCTCAGGTCTCCTCTGCTCTAAGGGGTCGTTCTTTCTTTCTAATTTTCCTCCCTCCCTCCTGTTTCCTTCCACATGATAACCTTTGTGTTGTTTTCTCTCTCCTCTGGGTCGTCTGTGGAGAAACCCCCCCTCCCCTCCGGTCATAACTGCCCATAATCACAGCTCTTCTGTGAAAAGGCCAACAAACAACAGCTGTAATCTTTCTTCTCCTTTTATGTTAGAAATGCATCACTGTGCTTCACTTTCCTGCCTCCCACCCCCGCCGTCATTTCCCCCTCATGCCTGCTGAAATTATGGCTCAACACCACCGACTCCCCCCACCGTGTGTGTGTCCTCCCCTGCTGGGTGTAATGGTGGATAATGACCATGAAATGTCAGACTATCAACCCAAACATTTCACCCAGCTGACGTGTGTGTGTGTGTGTGTGTGTGTGTGTGTGTGTGTGTGTGTGTGTGTGTGTACAGTTGATGTTGGTTTGTTCAGGAGCTATTCCGCTGAATGTGCTGATCTGTGAATGTTTGTGTTCATGAGGAAAAACGACTGTATCCAGACTTTGGAGCTTGCAAGAATGATGTTTTAGGTCTTCAAACCTGAGGCTGAAGCTTTGCCAGGATCCAGGAAGTCAGTTTACTGGAACTCTGAGTTTGTTAATCCTGAGCTCAGGGAAACCGGAACTCTGAGTCAGGTGCCTCAGATCCTCTGTGACTCCTCCCCCTCCTGCTGCACCTGAATTTAATGACAGCGTTGATCTGCTCCTCTTCTCCCCCATCTAATCTTCTTCTTCTTCTTCTCTCCCACCTTTTTCTGCACCTCATTCATTGCCTCGTCTTCCTCCTTCCTCTTCTTTTCCTTCTCAACTTTCTTCCCTCTGCGTGTCTCCCTTGACCACCCTCTTCTTATTCACGTCCTCCTCCTTTTTCCTTCCTCTCCTCTGCTGCCTTCATATCCTCCTCCTTCCATTTTCTTCCACTTTCTACTTCTCTGCCTCTGCCCTCTACTGTCCTGTTCTCCTTTTCCTCCTCAACTTCTTGTCCTTTTCCACCTGATTCTCTGCCACCTTCCCCTCCTCTACCAACTTCTTCTCCACCTTATTCTTCACCTCTTCTTCATCCTCGTTTTCTTCTCTGTCCTTGTGCTTCCCACGCATTATCCTCCTGCCCATTCTTCTGTCTCCTCTTTTAGTTTTCTGCACAAATTCAAGCTAACTGTATCTCTCCTCATTTACTTAAATGATCTCATGCCTGATTCGCCTTTCTCTCTCGCTCCTGTCACTGTGTCTTTAACTCCATGTCCTCCTGCTGGATCTGTTTTGTAGTAGAGTCGTGTTTGACTCTAAGAAAGCTGCTCTTTGATCAGGAGAACAATTTCAATTCTGACTCTCTCACCTAGTTCTGAAGCCACGTTTCCTCACATCACACTGGCCTGCTTCATGTCTGAATTTTTATGTGTTCATAAATGTTTCTTCATTCTCAAACTTAAATATTACAGACCGCACTCCACTGTAGAGATAAATAGTGCTGCAGACTGCCTTTAGATGGCAGTGTTACTCCACCAAAATGGAGCCTCCCTCACACAGACACAGGGATGAGGCTCCAGTATCAGGAAAAATCAAAGGCATCCATGAAAATAAGAACTAACTTCTTAGTCTGAAGCCAGAAACCAGAATTAAAATGATCCGAGCAGGAGTCTAGCCATTCTTTGAATAAAATACTTCATAAACATCCTCAAATGTATGTTTTTCTGTGCATGCACCAGCGTACCAGGAAACTGTCTAATAGACCGATAATAGTGCCGAGATTTATCTTCTTCACATCTTTTTTTCTTTCTTTTTTTTTTTTTTTTCATGTAAATGATAAGAAAAAAAATAAACGGACAAGTAAAAAGATCAAAATGAGCCCAGATTTGATCAGTTATACATGTTTGAAGAATACACTGAATTTATGAGCACATCACTGTTGTCAGCACCACTTTTCAAACGCACACAAAGACATACAACACGTCAGCCCTCAGGGAGGACCAGCCTGTCAAAGCTGTGATGTCGGGGTGTGTGTGTGTGTGTGTGTGTGTGTGTGTGTGTGTGTGTGTGTGTCCCAGCTGCAGGTGTATTGTGTCTCTCGGTCAGTCAGGACGTGTCTTTACCGCTAATTATTGTTCTCGCCCACACAGTCACATCCAGCTCGATACAAAGAGCTTCAGGCAAAAAAAAAAAAAAGTACTTAAGTGCAACAAAATGACCAGTGATCAGTGAAGGTACAAATATGAAAATAATACCAGAATTTCACTCAAAGTCAATCAGTATTCAGTGATCCAGATACAAAACAAGTTATCACATAAAAGAATCAGTTCATCGTCACTTCTGTGCGCTGATTCATAGCTTGTGCTACGAAATGTTAAACTTGGTAAGCTCACAGAGATTTAACTGTTTAGAAGAAATGAGTCTGTAAATATGTTTATATTGAAGATTTTTAACATAATTTTAAAAATATTGGCCCCTGCAGCACCAAATGCTTAACTTCATGCTCAACTTCAACTTCAATGTATTTAAATTTCACATTTTTAAGTAAAAACTCATAATTTTCAATAGTTAAGTTTTAAATTCACAAAGGAAAAAAACGACAACTGATAAGTTTTTACGGAAAAAGAAGGCAAAGAATATCAGACCCCTTGGGGAACAAATGTCAAATTGACAAAACCAAGGCAAATTTTTGTAAAACACATGAGCAAATTTACACGATAGTGGTACATTGTCGAGGGGAAAGGGAAAACAGAGACAAAATTGGCAAATTATGAAAGAAATAAGTGCCATACTTACGAAAGTGACACTGCCAAATTTCTATGGAAAAATTTCATATTCACAAGAAAAATGGCAAATCTCGAAAGAAAAACGAGGCTTATTGCCGAGAGGAAAAAGCAAAGTTTGAAGTCTGTGTCTGCTTAAAGTCACTTTCCTGTAGTTTATTTTAAAATGTGGAGAGAAAATTAAACACGACATGATTATAACAGTGTGTTAACTCTAAATGCAAGTAAACAGGAGGAAGATTCGGTGAGGAATCAGATGTTTTCTCTTTCTTTATGTATCTTTAAAGAAAGATTTGATGCAATGCTATGGTTACAAAGGTAAATGATGTGACGTGAGCTTAGACGTGAAAAGAAATGGGCTTAACTCTGGGTCTGAAAAGTTAAGTCGGTGCTTTCGTCCCTGAAACCTGCAGCCTGGGGAATGAGAACCGGGTTGCTTCACTTGATCTATGGGAAAATGAGCCTTCTGTGAGTTTCCTGAGAAGTTTATGGAGTCTATTGTTTGTCTTATTTAATGAAAAATCTTTGTTTTTGTAGATTTTGGCCCCTTTAGAGTCAAACAGAATGATAGGGCAGGATGTGATGACCTGTCATGTTTCTTTTTCAAACACCATTGTGGTGATGGCGAAAAAGCTCTGTGATCTTAAGGCAAAAGGTTAAAAAAAAACCCCCAAAAACATGCAGATAAAAATCCAGCTTTGGCCTTTTCTTTCCTCTTTCTTTCCTCTCTTCATTCCCGTCTTAATCACCACCTCCTCCCTCACTTTCTCCTCCTCCTGTCTCCTCCTCTCTAACAGGATCAGTTTAATTGCAGTCATCAGCTCATTAACATGGAAACGAGACGCAAACAGCTCCATGCACATGCTGTCTCTTCTAATACAATTAAAATTGAGCCGAGTGTTAATATTAGTGGCAATTGTGTGTGTGTGTGTGTGTGTGTGTGTGTGTGTGTGTGTGTGTGTGTGTGTGTGTGTGTGTGTGTCGGTCGTTTAAATAATGAGCTTTTGATGAGGAGCTCTTGAACTTCTTAATTAAATTTATATCGACAATGGATCATTTAAATATATTTATATATTTAATGTGAAAAGTGTCACACTGTGATTGATTTTGTTCTTGAAACTGAACTCTGTCTTTCCACCAGGGCAACTTACCAAAATATTCCCACAATGCCTTGGTGGTCCAGGCGATGAAGACCAACCTGACAGACCCTGACATGCATGTGCTGTTCTTCGACGTGGAGGCGGTGATCATCCAGCTGCTGACGGAGGAAGCTCAGAGACCGAACCCCATGCTGGTGTCCCCGGAGACGCTACAGAAGAGCCAAGCTGGCGCTGATAAGGGCGGGTCCTTGTTGGCTCATAAAATCTTCAAACAGGTCCATAAACACCAAAAAAAAAATTCCACTAATGAAGGTCTTTTATTAATGTATTATTTTTGTTTTTCATGTAAATAATTTCTCCTAAAACCAGGTGAAGGAGACCATGAAAGAGACCATTAAGGAGCACCTATTAGATGAAGATGAGGATGAAGAGGAGGAGATGAGGAGGCGCGAGGAGAAGTCCAAGTCTCTGAGTCTGCTGGAGTATAACCTGACGATGGACACAGCCAAGCTCTTCATGTCCTGCCTGCACGCCTGGGGTCTCAACGAACAGCTGGACACCATCTGTCTGGAGCGACTGGGCATGCTCAGACCACACTGCCCCATCTCCTTCGGCTTGATCTCCAGAGGAGGCCACATGTCTCTTATGTTGCCCACCTTCAAGGTAACTGTCTGTTATCACCTGGGTTCCAGGTGTCTTTCCATGAAAGACATATCGTTGAGCATGGAGCATTTAAAAAGCTAAATCAACAGTTTGATAACAGGGCACCTGAAAATAAGAACCTCTTCTCTTTGTATAACTCCATTTTCCAGGAATCTTTGCTTCGTCAGCTTTCCCTGGCGACAGGTCGGAAGCTATCTCTGTCAGACATAGTCGGGAAGGGGACATATGGTGTGTCGAGGGCTGTCACCACACATCACCTCCTCTCCGTCATCTCACTGGCCAACACTCTGATGGGCATGACCAACGCCACCTTTGTTGGAGAGCACATGAAGAAAGCACCGGCCAGGTAACAAACACACATGGACTAACTCTTAAAAGTGATTTATTTTTATATTTGTTCTTTAAGAACTCTTATATTCAGAAGAGTTGGTTGAGCCCAAACTAAAGTTAAAAAAGTAAGAATGTTGGATGTATGATCTTGCAGTGCTGTGATTGCAGCCATTCCCCAACTCTCTGTGAATGGTGCTCATGGTCTTTGATCAGTGGGTTTTGGTCAGTGGTTGTTGATCAATGGTCATGAGAATTTTCTTAATTAAGATTAAGGAACTCTCCTCCCAGCCCATTGTTCCTTCAGTGGGCTGGTTTCAGTCATTATGCAAATGTACTGTTTATAAAATTGGGGAAACCTGCAGTCAGCTGAGACTGAAGAAGTCACTTGGATGAGTGACGAAACGTTTCTTCTACAAAATGCTACGTCCAGATGAACATAATCAACTTTTGGAGATTTACTTACCTGGACGATTGAGCATATGAATCAAGACGAAATGTTGGATGTAGATTTACCTGGTCAGTACAAACTAATCTACAATGGCAGGATTTACTTCCTGTGGCTTTGCAACTTATGTTTTCATGTTAGCCATTTCTTGATACATGAATTGATAAAAGGTTTGAAATATTGATGTTCAATGATTGGATGAATGATAAATGGTTAAATGCACAGATGCATGGATAGAAAGTTAAAGGGCTAATTATATAGTTGGATGACTAAATGGTTGGATAAAAGATGTTTTGGGCATGGATGGATGGGAAGATTCGATGTCTATTAGATGGATAATGACATGGATATATGTTGGATGGATAAAGAAATGTTGGATGTGTGCATGAATGGATAGATGGTTTAGTCTGTGGATGGTATAATTGATAGATAAATACCTGAATAAATTATGCATGGATGGTTTGGTGGATAAATGTTGGATGAGTGGATAGATGGTTAAATGGTTTGTTGGACTAACAGCTGGATGGAGGCAAAGTGGTTGGATGAATAGACGGTTGGATAGGTGGCATGTTGGTAATTAATTACATAACTTTAAAAAATATATATATAATGTGCCATTAAATGAACCAAAAACAATATTAAAACTAAATGGAATGTGATTAATTCATATATTTATATTGTTAAGCTATCTTAACAATATAACAATATTACAATACATATGTAACAATACAAAAACTTATGTAATGTTTTTGTTTTTACTCCCTTCGAACTTTCGCATTTTATACATTACTGTCTACTTCTATATTTACTTTTGATCTTTGTTCTTCTGTAGCTGCTCTGGCCCACGCTGAGTAAACAACGCTGCAGCAAACTTGTTTCGTTTTCATGTGGCTTTTATAGGATTTAAATTTCGAACTTTGTTCATCAGCTAAAAACAAACAGCAATTTGTGGAAATCAGTCTGTTTCAACACCCTGAATTGTGCACAAAAATGTATCCACATTTGTTTTAAATTGATATCAGTTTATGAACCCAAGTTTATTTTATCTAGAATTATCAGGCTGATAACACACAATTCTGATTCCAGCTTAAAAAACGATAGAACAACTGAAACTGCAGCAGAAACTGAACTCAAAGTGCAGGACATATACTATCCTACCACCAGCGGCTGAGGTGTGTGTGTGTGTGTGTGTGTGTGTGTGTGTGTGTGTGTGGCTGATTGTTTAGTCTGTCTGAGCTCTCATTGTGCTGTGAAAGATTTAACACAGAGGTCGAGGTCCTGCTGCTGTAATACCAACACAACATTTCATCGTCCCGTCAACCCTGCTTCAAGGATAACTCTGCAGGGAGGGCGAGCAGCGAAGAGTCAGAGATGATAAAAACACAGGTCGAGGGGTAGTGAGGTGTTTGATCAGCCTTCATAAGTTTTCAGTCTATAATTGACTTATTCTTGTGGTTAAAATATATTTTTCCTGCCATATGTCCAGCTTTACAATGATAAATATTCAAATTAAACAAGAACAAAGTTCTTTTTTTCTTTTAAACTGTGAATTCAGAAATGAGCTGTCATGAGCTGGGATAAATAACTGGAAATAAATACAAAAATAACTGGAAATAAATACAAAAATACCAAAACAGGACAAAAGAAGAACCAGGCTGTTGTAATGGAATAAACACAAGTGATGCTGGGTAGGGCTGAACGATTATGGAAAATAATCTAATTGCGATTTTTTTGCCCCAATATTGCGATTGCGATGCGATATGCGATTATTTTTTAAGGTCTTTGTCTTCTGTATTATTAAACAAAGACAAGCAATACATCATATAGTATGGCCAATACTATATTACATTAATTTTAAACTGTTCTTTCCTGGAAGACAGACCTCTGTTATGATGACATGAGGTGATGCATGAATTGATGACTGACATTTTTATTTAACTTCTTCAATCACAACAGTATATTTGAACATACACAATAGTTTATTTTTAGCTTACAAACATCTGAGCATAAAGTGCTGACAAGGAACCCTGGTGTAAACATTAAAATGAAAGTCAGTACAATGTGCAGATTGCAGAAATATACATAAAAAAAATCAGTGGCTTTACCACACTAGCCTTAACTAACTAGCCGTAACTAGCCTTCTGATTAGCTAATCAGAACTAGCCTTCTGATTAGCTAATCAGAAGGCTAGTTCTGATTAGCGTCACCGCTGTCTCGGTGGAGTTTAATAAACTCGGCCGTCTGCTCCTTGCTATCTAAAATATAACCAGACACTGGTGTAAATTCTCGACTGTCTCATACTTCTCTTTAATAAGTTTTCTGTTTGACGTTTAGTCAGCTGTGTGAAAACCAAGGAGGAACCCACCCGGGGGATTAATAAAGTTTTATTTTATCTAATCTAATAACTTTAATCTCAGCCAAACCGATTTACTCACGAACAAACAAAACACTGAAAAAAGCCCAACAATAACATTTTTAGGTTGTCTAAGTGACTTATATATTACGTTTAACCCGAGCAGCGAAACTCCGCGGTGATCTGAAAATAATGTGTCGGGAGTTGTGCCGTTCTCGGCCGCATCAGTAACCCTCGAGCTCCTGGCTAGCTGTCGAGCTGGTGGGTAGCAGACGCCTCTGAAAACGTCGAAGCACTTTTGCAAATATGGGATATCTTGATAAACCGAGCAGATATTTGATGTTTACACAACTACTTTCTCGCCTGAAAATATGTTAAAAGTTTATTTTGTGACCCAGAAAGATTAGTATGAGTAATTTTAAAACTTAGTAGCAGCCGCCATTGTTGGAAACTGGAGTTTGGCTGGGCCGCGCTATGAATTCTGGGATATGGTAGTAATTTGGACAGCCTTCGGCGCGTCGCTGTGACGTAATCGGTCTACAAATGCGGCCTCAGGAGGATGCAGCCCATGAATTTGGACATGTCCAGAGTATAATCGCAGCCTTTGCGGTTAGAAAATTGCACTTGATCATGTCGTGATATTATCGCAAATGCGATATATCGTTCAGCCCTAATGCTGGGTTTGGGTGGGTGTGGTGGTGGTGATTCAAGAGTTGCAAGAGCTGTAAGTATTGTCAGAACACAGGGAAAAAAACACAAATCATAGATTTGGTTCACAACACAAACATTGCCTAAAGTAAAGTTTGCGTAAAGGTATGGGCAGTAAAACAAGTCATTTCAGGCAAAATATTAGCTGACGGGCCCAATATAAGATAAATAAGGATTTTTTTTTTTTTTTATAACTGTGGATCAGGCAAACCTCTATTAGAACCCAAAACCAAAAATTACAGAGCTTTACTTTAGTACTTTAGTCCCTGTAAAGTTTCGTCCTCTCAGTACTTTCGATGTCATTTTTGAACTCTTTCCCCCATAAAGACGACATTCGAGGACATCCGCTGTTCCCATAATGACATGTTTTGACACCTCAGGATCTGTCAATAAAAACGTGGTTTGATGAAAAAAATTTTCCAAGGGTAATTGCCACCCTGATGCAAACTTAGTCATTTTGTTCAGTGAGCATACCTGTAATATGACAGAAACCAGTTCAGAAAAGAGCTTTAATGGTTACTCCTAAATAGGTTTTCAAGGGCTAAAGGGTTAAACCCCCTTATGTCTCCTAGGTTAGGGTGGAAAGTACAGCTTGGATTCTAATCGTCATTAGAGTCTTGTCTAATATAAGTGACATAAAAGTCAGCTGTAAGGTGTCCTCAGTGTCAGTCCTGGGTCAGTTCTGAAATCCTTGAAATAGAGTAAACTCAACAATACTGTAAAGTCATGATGACTTTTTCCCTCACAATCAAATCTGAAGTCCTTACAGCCAGAGCTAAAGCCCCATCAACTTATACAATGATAAGCTCCTTTAACATTCAAAGGAGCAGGTCAAATCATCTAATTTTGCCTCCTGGGTGCATCCGTCTCGAGGTTTAAAAGAACATGCTAGATATTCTATATCTCATCTGGGCTGGAAACACGTAGGGATCACAAAGAAGGGACTGGGGAATGTTACTGGGGTGAAGGACGTCTTGAATTAGCCTGCTGCCAAATTCCAGAAAGCAGAAGAAAACTGGTGGCTGGATGTCAAAGTTAAAATCAAATCAAGTGTTTTTCTATTTGACTCCTTCTACCATTGCATCCTGTCATTGGTGGCATTGCTGATGTCACGCTATTATCAGATTACCTTTCTGAGTAAGAAATTAAAGGAAGTCAAACTTTGTGGAGTAGATACAGTCACAGCATGAAAAGTAAAAAGCAGAAGAACAAAAGACGTCACTCATAGGCTGACTTTCCAGAGAAGTTTATTACTTTCACATAAACCCGTAACTGTGCTTCTGTGGAGTGTCCAGATCAGAGGAGGTGATTGTGCAGCTACAAACAGAAGCTGAAGACTTCTTTATGAAGCTCAAACAAGGATCTTCTCTCTGGCCGTCTTCGCCTCGAAACTGCAGAACAGCAGTTGTGAATATTTGAAGTTGTTTTGGTTTTTGGCTTTTTCATGTTCCTCATCTTACATTTATGATAGTGGAAAAGCTTCCTCTCTGTGTGCTGGAGTTTGAAAAGAAGTATTCCTGAACTCTTTAAGAGTTTCAAGAGCAGTTCCTTCACCTGCCTTTGCTTAGGCCTTCAGCTTGGCTGCCTGAGACGGGACTGAATTAGCCTCAACCAAACCTCATTTAAGTGATTTTTCTAAGTCAACGTCTATGATCATATTGCCTTTTTGTAGGAGTCTTTAGCTCTTTCTTCCTCAAAACTATTTCTCTTGTCCAAACCTTTCATGTCTTTGTCTTCACTTTGGGTGGATTCTGACAAGCTCCTTTTGGAAAACATGAGCTTTACCTTTTGGACATAAACTGTATAAAAGGTGGATCCTAGCCATGGTGCCATTTTGAAGCATCAGCATTGTGAATTCAGAATTAATGACCTCTATAGTTTCACACTTTGCAGAGTGATCCAGTGGACCTGATTAGACCCTTTGGATTTTGTTTGTCAACTGCACAGGGATGAATTGGTACATTTGGACGTTTTACAGATATGGTTGTAGGAAGCTGGCAGGTTAAAGACTTTGTACATTTCTCACTTCAGAATTATTGTACATAGTTTGTTTTGTAACCAGCTGTAAAAGACTAATAGGGTATTGTCATCATCCTCCTGTGTGGACGGGCGATGTGGACATCCAAGTTTGTGAATAGGTGTATCTACTAAAAATCTTGGACAAGTTTGAATCTCATTGGCCTCGACCTCAAGGAAAGAGTTCAGAGGTCAAGTTTTCTTAAAATCTTGTGAATGCAATAACTTGAGAACAAGGCGATGTGGGATTTTGAAACTGATACCATAGGTGTATCTAGTAGGAGGCTGATGGGTACCACTGACCGCTGCCAGTATTGTTTTTATTTGGTTTTGTTTCAGTTTTAGATTATTCTCATTTGTATCATGTCTAGTTTTTAATTTTTCTTTTCTGTTTACTAAAGTTAGAAAGGAGTATGTTAGAGGGACAGCTCAGGTTGAACGGTCGGGAGAAAGAGAGGCAAGGCTGAGATTATTTGGACATGTGCACAGGAGTGGATATTTTGGGCAAACAATGATGAAGATGAAGAACCAGGCAGGAGGAAAACAGGAAGACGTATGTATGTAGTGAAAGAAGACATGCAGAGGGTTTGTGTGACAGAGTAGGACACTGGGAAGGCTAAGATGTAGGCAGATGAGCCACTGTGGCGACCTCCAAAGGCCGAAAAAAGGGGCTGTTTGGCATTTCTATCAGTCATTTTCCCAGGTAAAGTAGCTTGGTTGAAGTTAAAACACCAGTAAACCACCTGTTTGCTTTTCTGCACGTTAAACTGATCCAATCTTTTTAGCTGCTTCTGGTGACATTACGGTAAATTGTTCTTTTATATTGTTCATTTAATTAGGAATTTTATTTAAAAATTGATTTTATATGGATTTCTATTTTTGTGGATAAAGGTAACTTTTCTGTATGCCAGTGGGGGAAAATGCTACGTTAATCACTGATTTTGTTTTAGTCTTCTATAATATTTTGTCACAAGCACATCTGGCTTTAGTGCATGTGTGAAGAGCTTTCTAACATAGGAACTCTGAGTGCAGTCCAGGATATTTGCAGACAAAAAGTAATTATTTGATCTCGTCTTTATGAGCTGTGACCACTGTCCTGCCTCTTTAAAGAATTTTGTCTTTTTTGTCGTTTTTTTTTTTCTTTCGTTTTTAAAATGGATCTTTCTGGATGTGTTTTTGTTCCCCGACAACTGCAATTGATCACCCAGTGGATTGTTGTATTGGAAGTGTTTGTGTGTCTCTGAAAGTTAGACGCCTCCAGTCTGTTCACAGAGGACTGTGTCCTCCAACCAAAATTCAATAGGCTGGAGCCTGAAAAACACACACACACACACACACACACACACACACACACACACACACACACACAC